CATCAAGTAAGTAATCTCTAATTCAATCAATTTTGCGAATATTCTTTCCTTATTCATCCTACAGATGACACACCTTAGTCAATAGAATGCCACCATGTGTAAGGCTACTACTACACACTATGACTGGCCACCTCTTCCTATAAATACCTCCATTCCACCAAATTTTGGTAAGCTTTTTACTATGCATCGGAGATCCATTAGCTAGACCTTCCCCCCACCTCATGGGTGTATAGGGCTTTGGCCTTTGATCAAATGTGTTGATTGTTTTGTAGGTATAAATACATCAAAACTGAAGGCGGTAGATTTTTGCTACCACAACAGTGACTTGAAATTTCTGACGATCAGAAAAAAATTTCAAGCACAATGACCGTGGCCGACAACAATTTCTGGTGCAGGCACCGGTGGCATGTGGATCATGTGCAATGGGAACAAAAATATAAATGTTCTTATGCTTATAAATGTGTTTGTCCATAATTTATGGCTTAATCCATGTAGTATGAGAATGGATTAGAAGTTATCCTCTTTTGTTTTTTAGTGCATTGATATTTTTACATTTAGAGAAGGGAGAGTTTGGCTAAGCCGCACAATGGGCATCCTAATCGAATTCACCATTCATGAGATTCGAACCTAAGACCTCTCACTTCTAAGTGAAGAGGAATATCATCAGACCATAATACTGAGTGGCAGAAATTATCCTTAAAGTTGGCATTTTTTCCTAAAACCTTTATTAAGATTGATGTTTAATTAAAATTTTTCTTTTGTCACTTAGTACTACGGTCTAGTGGTATTCCTCTTCATTTATAAGTGATAATCTTAGGTTTGATTCTCACCATAGACGAATTTAAACCACATTATTGATATCTCATTGTAAGGCTAACCCCACCCCCTCCCCTTAGTATAAATAATATCGTTTATTTTAAAAATAAAAAAAAAATAAATTTACCATTTTTTTAAGAATTATTATTACTATTTTATTTATTTAGTTTTATTTTTTTTATTGTAGTGTCAATTAATAAGGCATGCCCATGCTTTTTATGCCCTAATAATTGGGTGGTCAAATTACGTTTATGCTCTTTAATGATCTGAAAGACTAGAAACTCAAACTCGCGAGCTCGTCTTCAAACTTGAAATTGTGTATCAGACCGTGTGCAGAGAAATTAGGGCGGCCTCCCATAGAAGAAGTATCAAAACCATAATCCTAAGTAGTTCGAAAAAGCTCCCCCCAAAAAAAAAAAAAAAACCAAAAACCTAGACAACTTGTAAAACCAAACGAGAAAAGAAATTCTTCTTAACTTGAGAAACACGTTAGTTAAGTCGCTCTCTTTTCTTGAAAATTGTAGTAAAATATGAGAAACATAGCTCTATGTTTTAGCTTTCTAGGAATATATCGCACTTCTATTGAAAAAGTCAGTAATCCCTTAGCATCTTCATTCAACCATGTTGTGTAATTCTGACAGGAATGCAATTCCGGCTATATTTACTTGACAAACTGAAATAAACATCTACATGAAGAATCTAGAACTTGGATAATTTTTTTTGATCGACCTCTTGGGTAGCTTCTCCAAATGGACTTGCATCAAACTTCTTCGTAAAGTTAATTTTCATCAAAATTGTTTTAAGTGCGAAAAAAAAAAAAAAAGAATATGATAAACAAAGTAAACTACAAGAAAAATGACCTTTGGGTATAAAATAAAGGGCACAATTGAGAATTTTGTGCCTGTTTGACCACTGAAAGGCTGAAACAGTTCACATTCCATAGAGGGCATCATAGATGGTGCCCAATGTTAAAAAAAAAAAAGACACAAAATAGTAATGGACACGAAAATCATGCCGAGTAGGGTCAGATGACAAGTTTTTTTTATTGAAGATGGGCACAAAAAAACATTTTATGTCTATAAAATATATTTGCTAGCAGGGCTGTATGTCCATCCAACCTTACATGTGTCATATTTGAATTTTTTTTTTTATTAATTTGCAAAAACACGACAAAGGTTATTGTGCCCTCTAGTTTAATATATTTAAATAAAAAGTAAGTTTTGTGTCCTTACATATTTACTTTTGGGATTTTTATGGGGCAAGAAAGGAAATCAAAAAGTTATTGTGCCCTCTAAATATATTTAAATAAAAAATAAGTTATGTGTCCTTACATATTTACTTTTGGGATTTTTATGGGGCAAGCAAGGAAACCAAAGGAGGTTTGTAGTGTGCCTGCCTTCAGATTTCAGATAGGATAAGTTAAATACATTTATAAAAAATATGAAAAACTTTAAAAAAAAAATCTCTCTTCCCTTCACAAACGTCCAACTCCTCTCTCCCCTCATTTTCCCTCTGCTCCCTTCTCTCTTTGTCCTCTCTCTCTCTCTCTCTCTTCTCTTTCACGCAAGCCGTCCACCAATCATCAACGACCGTCAAATTAAACCTCCAGAATCCTCTTCACGTCCTCTTTCCAACCCCAAGTTAGTTTCTACAAATTCGTAGCTGAATTTCGTCAATTTCACATCTAAGAAGTGGTGGCCACGAATTTTCCGACAAATTTTCAGACAAACCTGCCAGAATCGGACCTCGACCCAAGAGGTAAAAATGATCCTCTCCTTGTGGGCTATCCTCCACTGTAAATTCTTTTCCAAAATAAAAACTTTTAGTTTTGGGGTCGATTCTAGATTTCAAATTTAAAATCCATCTTCTGTATGCATGTCAAAGATTGGGATGACGAAGGTGAATCAAGTTTGTTTCCAGCCTAGGCCGAGAAGAATTAGACCCACCCACGTATGGATTTTTTTTGCATGCATGTCAAAGATTGTAATTTATTTATTTTTTGCTTAAATTCATCTTAGTATCACAAGTAGCTTCTAGAAGTTTATGGAAGAGCTTATGAAAACATTCACATTCATTTTACTCGTTTAAACTTGAAGTAGTTAATTGTCTTATTTCGTTTGGGGCGCCTGGTTCCACTTTGTTGTCCTGGAATGCATGATGGTAGTTGATGAATGTGATGTGCATGCGGGTAACGTAACTTGTAAATTTGAAGTGTTCATACATAGTACAAATATTCTCTATTTTCCATCAAGCTAAGAATGCCCCTCATAATATTTGGGTAATTTACATTAGGTTTCTTTTGTTGCTCAGATTTGACTCTGATTTAGGTAATTTACATTAGGTTTCTTTTGGGGAAGTTTCAATTTGACTATAGGATAACGTCATTATCATTGAATGTGAAAATTTGTCAATGTCTTACAGTTAATTGTGATGCCCATGATGAGATGTGCATTTTTTTTCCATTACACTTATGTGTTATGTCAATTAAACTCCAGACCAACTACTAATTATCTCCTAAGTTCCTAAAATTTGTGTTTGTTATATGTTGTAGGAAATGACCTATTTTGAGATTTTTTTTTGTATCTCTCTCTTTTATTCTACATTCGAAAGAGGTAGAATCGCATTATTGGGACTGTGGATTGCTTTTTGCATGTGTTAATCTGTGTGAAGATTGATTGCCATGCATGAAGAAATAAAAAATGTTACTAAAGTGTCTGGCAAAAGTCATTATATTTCAATTAGGAATGAGTGCATGTATACATAGCAGAATTACACCAATTAATCTGTGGGAGGAATGATATACAAGTAAAGAAAAGGAATCTTGATTTAAAGGGTAAATTACATAAAACTACCTCAACTATTGGGTCATTAACAGTTTCATACATCGTTTTTAAAAAGTTTCAATGTCATACCTTATCTTTGAATTTGTTGCAATATCATACCTTCCGTCAGTTGTTTGTTAATTATTCTGTTAAATGCTGATGTGGCTTGAGATGGGACCCACTTTCTATTAAAATTTTAATTAAATATTAAAAAATATTGAAATACAATTATTTAAATATTTTTATAAAAAGAAGGTGGGACCCACCCACCTCCTTCCCTCCCACCCATCTCCCCCCCCCCCCCCCCCGGACCCTTCCTCCCTTCACTCCAAAACCCCACCGCTGCGCGCCCTCTCTTCCTCCCTCCCATGGCGCTCATCCCCTCCTCCTCCTCCTGCTACACTAACCTTCCCACACCTCTCCCCCTTCTCTTCCAGTCTTATCTATTATCTTCATATCTCCACAACCAAAGCAAAGAATGGAAGAGCGAGAGGCCAATGCGAACGCAACTAGGTCTGGGTTCGAGACCTATGCAGGGAAAAATGCATACGGCCGAGACGGCGTCGACGTTCCCCCTATGGAGAATGCGATTTGTTCTGTTGTGGGTGTTCCTCCTCTTCATTTTCTCGTGGTTGTAAGGGTGATGCACACAGCGTCGGCGTTGACAACCCAGAACGACGACTGCTCGAAAAGGTGGGATGCGATTTGATTCTTGATGGGTTTGGAGGTGAGGATGAAATTTTGGTTTTGGATTTGATTTTTGGGGGTTCTGGGGGTGGGATGATGAGATTTAATTTTGGATTGGGTTTGATTTTTTGTTTAAGGTCTGATGGGATCGGTGTTATCGAACAATTGATTAACTGGAAAGAGATATGAAGAAGGTGGGGGGCGGGGGAAGAGATCGAGAGAGAAGGGGGGAGAGGTGTGAGGGAAGATGGGTGGGGGTGGGGGGGGGGGGTTGGGGGAGATGGGTGGGAGGGAAGAGGGCAGGTGGGTCCCACCTTCTTTTTATAAAAATATTTAAATAATTTTTTTTAATTTTTTTAATATTTAATTAATTTTGTAATAGAAAGTGGGTCCCGTCTCAAGCCACGTCAACATTTAACAGAGTAATTGACAGATAATTGACGGAAGGTATGGCATTGCAACAAATTCGAAGATAAGGTATAACATTGAAACTTTTTCAAGACGAGGTATGAAACTGTTAATGACCCAATAGTTGAGGTATTTTTATGTAATTTACTCTAAAAATTTGGAAGCCATTACATACTCTTTCTTGCTGCTCTGTGTAAATGATGTCACTTTCATTTTCAAGAGCTTCTTGGTAGTCTAAATTTATAGTTCATTTTTTTAGCGATATCCAACATGATAATGTATTTTACTGCTTGATTTATTTCTTACTCATGGTCATTTTTAGACGCTGTCAGAGCAGGGGATGTCAATATTGGGTTATTTGTGGTGGTTGAAGGTTGTTTGGCTTCCGATGAATTCAAATGCAATGGTATTAGGAATTATTGGTTTCATTATCTGTATGAATTAGTTTGTAGAGCTTTATCATAAAAGCTTGTTTTTGCCCTACCCATAGTTTAATTGCCGAAACTACAAGATATTGATATTTTGGTGGATCGGATGGTATCTTTAGAAGATAAACAAATGCTTTTATCAATCTCTGCAAGGAGAAATGGCTTGAGGGGTTTGCTATTTTGCATTCTAGTTATACTATGTCTTCTTGGAACTGTATATAAGATGCACTTTTTTCTTTAATTATTCTTACTAAAGACTAAAGAGTACCGGCTTTTGTTTGTGTGTTTGTCTTGTTACGAGAGATTTAGAAGTACCAGCAAGCTGGCCTCCCTATTTGGACGTTCCACACTTTGAAGATTTAAGTATCACCGACAGTTAAGACTCATTTTCTCCATTGTTTAGTTGTATATTTGTGAATATTCTATTTATTCATTGTTTCCAATAGTTAAGACTCATTTTCTCCTTTAAAATTGCAGGTTTATTGATGATGTATACTAGATATGTCATTAAATTAAGTAACTCACTTTGACCCTAAATAATATGCAAAGTTACATATTTTTTCGATTTAGGTGACTATGAGCTGAAGAAATGTGTTGTCTTAGACCTAGAAGCTACTTTTACAACCTGGAGTGAGGAATATGAATCTTTGATATGGCAGATCTGGAACTTGTATGTATTGATTTTAACTAATTGCTTTTTAGGTGTAATTTTGGACTAATTTTGTTTTGAATTCGACTATATCTATTATGGCTTTTAATGAGGTGCAAGGCTTGCTGGGGAAAATGCATTTGTCCAAAAATATGTGCTTTCAAGTATTATTGTATTAGAGATAAAAATATGTAACATTACATTATGTTTGTGAGATTGGGAATGTGTTGCAGGCCTTTTCATTTTAAGAAAATTAAAAAATTTCATTTCCTCAATTTTAGTTTCAAATTTTGATTTTTTTTTAATATTTAATTTATGTTGGCTCAATTACAATATAAAGTGCCAACTTGTCTGGAAAAGGTTATCTAACAAGTTGTCAGAAATGAGTCACAAATAGTGGTCCATTTGTGCCTGCCTCTTTAAGCACGAAACAATCTATTATGCTCTTTTAGCAAAGATAATGCCCATAGAGGGCACATATAGAAATATAGTTGCTGCACTGTTGCTATTGGTCCATGGGCACATATGTTGGTGGTCTTTGGCCTCAAAGGGCACATAAAATTTATTGTGCTCAGTGACCATATTTTTTTGTAGTGCCCTAAGATTCTTTTAAATTAAATTATCTTGCAATGATTAAGGATAAATGATACAAAAACATAAGAAATAATGCATATCATGTTTCATGTTCATATTGTAGAGACATAAAGTAACCACACAACCAATAGAAGAACAACACGTAGACTTTTAACTTAATATGATGGATTTACCCTTGACATCATGAGTAGACCACACCAAGGGACTAAGCATCTATCTGCTTTATTGGTCTTTGGCCTTAGGACCTAGATATATATTAAGGAGTCATTCGGATCGATGATATCCCACTTCTACCACCGTGCATTTCTGGGCTCAATGAGGCAGAAGTTGACACTTCAAAGTCTTCCTTATGTGTTCCGTACTTCAGAGTCTCTTCTATAAATAGCTAAGTCCAACAGGAAAATCGCTAATTGCCACTTACTACTCATAATTCTCTGTTCTAGTTTTTCTCAAACTATTTCTGACTTAGGCAGCAAAGGCCCTTTGGCGGCCCCCCTCTCCCATTTTCTTAGGTGTTCGTCAATTAAGCTGACATTGTTTCTTGTTTTTTAGATTTCACCTGAATTTGCATCCACACATATTACCCAATTATATTAACACTCTTGTCTACTAGTTAAGCTAACAAGTGGAAATCTTTTAACCCAAACTCAACTTGTTAAAATAATGAGTAGCACGACCTGGCCCGTGGTTAAGAATTTTTCTTTCCCGAATGAAACTTGAAACTTCATTTTAGAATTAACAAGATGAGAAACATTCAGCTCTAATCTTATAATCATGCACACTATAGAAAATTATTCTCCTTTTCAAGATCTAAAAACCAATGAAAGGGGTTCTAGGAATGTAAAATTTTAAAATATACACTCTTAACAAGTTAGACGGGTCACTAGCTAACGGTCCACTTGTTTCAACTTGAACCCACTAAGGATCAACCCAAACAGTTTATTTTTCATGTTGCGTTAACGTGTTTGGTACAATCTTTTTAGGTCTAATTAGACTTGCCAAACATGTCGCGATTGTAACCCAAACTTAGTAAACCAGTTGTGTTTGTTGTGTTCGTCTTAACCCATTATGTTAACAGCTAGGTCGTGTCGTGCCAATCCATTAAACTAACTGGTAGAAAAATCTTAATCTAATCCAATCCGTGTCACTTGTTAAGAACTTCTTTTTGCGGAATGAAACTTGAAACTCCCTTCAAATGGGTAGCGCTCAACAACAATCAACGAGACCAAATTATCCCATTGTTATCTTCTACATTATAGAAAAGTACTCAACTTTTCGGGATCCATACTTTTAACGGGTTAAAACAAGTACATGTGAGTGATAGTGAACTGTCACGTTAGTTTACAGATTGCTAGCGGGTTCACCCATTTCTATCCAAGCCCATTAAAGTTCAACTCTAACACTTATCACTTTGGGTCATGTTAACGAGTTGTGTACAATAATCTCACATAATAAATCAAATACACTTTAGCTTTGCTTATAATTAAAGGAAAACTAATGAAAATGGCTTGAAAACTTTGAGTTTTAACGATAAGAACAAAATAAAGGGTAAAGTGAATAGTACTAAGATTGACTTTTTAGTGTAAAAATGTGATTTTTCGTTAAAATGAACAGTACCGGAAGCTTTTCGTTAAAGTTCCCAACCTCTGCGAACAGAAGAGAAACAGGTGGAGTACTGTGCTGTTGACTTGGAATCTAGTTGGCACTGCTGACTTGGACTGAGGATGATGTGCGTCTTTAGACCAGACTATTTCTCAGCTCTCAACAGATCATAAAGCGCACTGCTATTTCTCTTAATTAATTAGCACAAAAGCTATTCTATCAGAAAGCAAGCTCCCCATTCAAGCAGATCAGTAATTGGAAGCTCTCGCAGTGCATGTATGTAATCAGCTTTAATAAATACGGAAGCTCTCTCCGTACACACAAGTAATAAAATTAAGATTAGAAAAAGAAAAAAATTAGGGTACATTCGGTAATTGTCAACCGATATGAAGAGAATAAAGGTACACTAACTCCTAACTCTTAAATTGGCTGGTTTATAAATCAACGGTTGCAAGAGGTGCAGGGCGTTGTTTGGTTGCCCGTTCGAGTAGAGAAAAAAACATGACGGGTTTGGAATTTGTTTTGAGCCAGTGAAGTCCAATTTCATCGCCCTTTTTCAATTGTCTCCTCTTGACGAATGCCCGATGCCAAACAAAAACGTAACTGTTGTCGCTCTGCTTGAAAACGTACTGATGACAGGTAGTGTGCGTATCGCCATCATGGAACGTAATTTCTGCGCCCTGTCTGTTCTCAAGGGCTTTGGTAAACTTGTCGTCTGCGTAAGGGAGGACATGTTTGTTCATCAAGCTTGCTGGCACGTAGAAGTGTGTGAGATCTCTAGCCGTCAGTTTCTTTTTGATTTCCCATGAATCCATAAAATTTAGATTGGCAATAACAAGTTCATCTCTTTTATTCCTCTTCATCTGCTCCTCCTTTGTTGTAATATTTTTATTATTGTTTGTCATGTTATTCTCATGACTGAGATCCCGAAAGCGATCACCAGTGGGAAAGAGTGGAAGCGTCGACACTAGTTTTTGACGTTTCGATGAACTATTAGTCGTCTCATCACGATCATGAGGGCTAGTATTAGGAGAGGGTTGGTCAGGTACTTGGTCCGCCTTTCGCTTCTTCTTGTTATCATCATTATCTGTACTAAAACTTGTAGGCCAAGTCGGATCCCACAAAGCTAATACTGTAGAAACTTCATCATGCGACGATCGTCGTAGTTGTGGGCTTGGTTTTGAACGGCCAAGGGTTTGTCCTGTTGACAGCGTCGTCCCTTCCATTATTCTAATTCGAATCTTCAAACTTGAGCTTGAAACTAGGCAAGCACCAGAGGTGAGAGAGTGAGAAGAACAGCGAGAATTAATCGATTTGTGTATGTGTAGGAGTCCTATTTATAATAAGTTGGAGAAGATGAATCCAAATCGGTAGTGGATCCCGACACAATGGGAATTTTCCCGTTGGCATTCAACTTCTGAACGACTGAGGATTCTCGGTTTCCTTTTTTAGCCCCTTAAAAATTCAGATTACCTGGTTCCTTTTTTCCGATTAAATTAATTCCTGCTTTAGTTGGGTATTATTTGTCTACCTGGGAACTGGCCGGCAGCCAACCCGTTTTGTTTTGTCTTATTATGTCGACCTATTTAAGGTATAAATTTTCTTGTTTCTGTGGGTTAGGGTTTGTTTTGATTCAGTAGATTCCTTGTCCTTGTAGGCTAAGTTTTTATTTTTTATTTTTTTATATTTTGTTTTATGTACTTGTATACATACCTCTTTATGGAGAAGAATAAAGTATAGCGAGGGAGGGGAAGAAGATGTTGGCAGCATCTACGCTGTAAACATCATCACTTGCCACTTCGGCTAAAGTGTGAAAATCTTCCGAAAATAGGACTCCTAACCCTGAAACAACTAATTGGGTTCACAGAGGTCACCCTTCAGAAAGTCAAGAACTCTCTCCTAATACAAATCCAGCAAAATCCCTTCTCTGCTGTCGATCAATCTGAGGGCAGCCCAAAAGTCACTCATTATGTAGCGCTGGTCGATAACATACTCCATCGATGGAGGTTTGCCAGAATCATGGCGCTCGTTTCATCGACAAAGATTGTGAAGTAATTATTAATGATACGCTTAAGAATGGTAGACTTGCACTAAAACAAATAATTGGAGGAGAATCTCTAGTTAAGGATACTACTGTTGAAGAAAGCTTTCTTAAACTTGTGAAGGCTCATTTTATTGAACGCTGCCCGACTCCTGAAGCAGCACTTGTTGAAGAAGTCAGTAAATAAACTAGAAGATGCTCCTGCAAAGAAGTGAGGTCCTAATAAGTCTGCTTAAAAGATGTTTGAAGTACCACAGACTGTATAGCAACGTGTTCTAGCAGGGCAGCAGCGCCTTCAGAAGCTATGAGATTTTCAAACTCTGACAGATATATAATTCCTCTAGTATGAGCGCCGGGGACAAGCGCAAGCATGAGCGCAAGCATGATCTTTGGATCAGTTGGACGAAGTAATAATGATCAAGTGATTGTTCTTTGGCGCGTGCTAATTTTGAGGAATTCATTCGCTGTCTAAGGCTCAAGGCTTGCGTTGAGAATGTGAGAACACGCCGACTGGATAACGAGCTGCTGCACTTGTCTTAAGAGCAATGCTTACTATAACTGCAGAGAAGAAAGTTGTTTGGGCCCAAAATAATATTGTTGGGCCGAGTGTAGGTTTGTGCTCGGCCCAAAGCCGTTTTAAAAATACTATGGGCTGTCTGGTGATTCCGGGCCATTCAGCAGGGATGGTCGAGTCCTATCATAAGGAGTAGTTCAGATAAGAAAAGGGGGTCGAGGAAGTCCTAGTGCAATTAGGATTCTCGACCAACAATGAATGAAGCCTCAAAAAGGGATGAGTTCAAAGTCCTAATGGGGGTAGGATTGATCGAAGCAAAGTTGGAACAGAACAAGAAGTCCCTATCCAGATATGATTTTAACTCGATCTCAAGAAGGAATTGGTGTTATAAATACAAGACATCATGCAACAATTCGGGACCTTCAATTCAACACACAATTGCCCTGCGCAAAACGTCTCAAACATCTTGAGATTTTTTATTTTCTTTTTCTCGCTGACATATCTTCAGTTTGGATAAACAGCACTGTGAAGGCAACCGGCGAACACCTTTAGTTTGGATAAATAACATTGTTGCCGTAGAATCAGCTGACCGAGGAGCACCTTCAGTTTGGATAAACAGCACTGTGTCGAGGCCGACTGGTTACCTATCCAAGTCTCGGTTGAGAAGGGTTTTCGAATCCTTATTGGCAGAGGTCATCTTATTAGTCTTTTCGGCAAAGTAAGGTGTTACGAGTTACGACATTCGGCATACTGGACGCCAAGTGATTTTATGATTGAATACTCACAAGTGAGTTTCAGAGTTCGGCATTCTAACGGCCGAACCACTTTCAGCATCAAGACATACATCACCTTTGAATACTTGTGGCCGTACAGTCTGGTGTCGATTCGACGTGCTTATACTCTTATGAATATAATCACTGTGACCGAATTCGGCACCGACGATTTGTGAACTTCGCAGAACTAGCAGCCTTGTCTTCAAGCTCGAGAATCCAAAGGTCAAGATTTGTTCCTTCCTCGGCCGCAATCGCAAGATAAAGAAGTCAGCAACGCGCTTAACGCAACATCAACAAATTTTACTCCTCGGCCGAGCTCGGCCGACGAGTTGGCACGCCCCGCATTTAACCAAAGGACGTAGTTCGCTTATTAGTTATTTAGCCTGCGTGCCACGTAGGTTTTGTAATTTTTAAGGTCAACAAAAGTACAAACAGAAAATTTAGTTCCATTATCAATTAGTACCATCTACGAAGAGGTGATAAAGAGCGAAGTTGGTTGTAGTTTGACATGGGATTGTGTCAAAGCTGCCCTCAGCTGCTTGTGTGATGGAGAAAGTGATGTGGATGATGAGTCGTACTTGAAAATTCTTGAGCAAGCTCAGAACAATGAGGTCAAGTCGATTGTTTAGGTTACATTGTCGACCACTTCAAGGCTTCAAGTCACGCACTTGAGACGGACAAGATTTCAGATATGTTGAAAAGATGGGAACTCCTACGATTCTCTATGAGTACGTGCTTATGAAGAGATTAGTTTTCTTGTCGTGGAAGGTAGTTAAGGCCATTGTTTGGAAACATGTTTTGGAAGAGATGTTCCAGGCCGTATTCCTGATCAACCGAGGAATCAAAGCAAAATGGGCATGCAATTTGATAGACGCTATTCTGCCTATGAATATGATACGATATACATATTAGAATGTGAGCTTTCATTAACCCATTGGCAATATGAATGAGAAGCTCGTGATTATTTAAACTGTTAGTCAAGGCTTTCCTTCCTCGGTTTAAATTTATATTCTCAATACGCCTCTTCATGTATTGAAGTAGCTTCCCGAAAAGGAAAAAACATTCCAACAAAGAAAAAAACACTAGCAAAGGAAGTAGATGGCGTGAAAGTTGAGGAAAAATATAATGTTCTGCACTAGAGAAGGGGGAGGGTTTAAATCCGGATGCAGTAGGTTCAATGAAGTGGAATGACCTAACCACCTAGATAATCCACCACTTCCAGTGAAACATGGAATTAATTAGTCCAAACTCCCACTTCTAACCAGGAGAATGGCATTCACCGTTTCCCAGTCAATTCGGGACAAGACATGAAGCACGTACTGAATAATAAAGGTAGTTTAAACATAATTAAGGGCATTAAACAGATTTCTATGCAGGTATTAATCCTAGTTCATGCCCTTATTAGTATCTAAATCCGTTTACGGTTAGACAAATTGTCACCAATCCATGCATCATTAGGAACTACCAAGGTAAACTTATTAGAGCTCGTTATATTTCATTAGGGTATAACTGCTCGGATGCAAGCGTCCTGTGATTAAAACTTGGGACTGCTACTACTACAAACAACAGTTTGCGCGATGAACTGACAAAAAACATCACTTAAGGATTAGCAAGACTCAACGACAGCATAATCTACGTCGCGCAAAAAGACTTTGCGTGACAACAATAACCTGCGTCGCACGAAACATAGTTGCGCGACGCAAGTTATTGTCATCGCCCAAAGTTTTTTTATTTTTTTATTTTTGACAATATATTTTTTATTTAATTTTTATAAATATTTAATTAAATTATAAATAATAGTTAATAAACTAAGAAAAAGTATTTAATTATAAAATATATGAAAATGTACGTACAAGTTGTCTAAAAAAAAAACAACTACAACAAATAGTCGTCCGGGTTTGATGCATCGAGTTACTAGGTATCAGTTAGGTAAAGTGGCTAAGAGATCGAAAGGTGGAGCAGGACCAGTTTACCGTGCTTCACAGGCTTGTATGAGATTGAGAACACAACAAGATAGTGGGTGATCATCTCAAGCATAAAGAAAAAATCATTAGGTCCAAACTTTCCCCATCCATGGAAGCATGTGACAAAGTAGAACAAAACTTAACGACGGAAAGAAAGAAATGCTTAATCCCGACGCTAAAACACTATGTTGCGGCATTCATTTATCAGTAATCACTAGTACTCGTGATGATTAATACAACATTAATATGAAACTCTTGTTTATAAGATGCCCAAATACAAGCTTCTCTTCAAACAAGTTCATAAAAATAAAAAAAATTAAGTCTGAATCTGTCGAAGAACAACTTCTAAACCAATATAGAGGATAACAATGGATTTTGAAACAGCAAGGCCTCAAGACTCACAACTTAGGTTGTGGCATGCCGCAGTCTCTTTCCTATATCTATTATGCCTTCTAAGGCACGTAGAGACTTCTACATTCCTACATTATTTTGATACAACTTATTTCTGTAAGTGTAACAAAACAGAACAGGGAGGTAATCCAGAAAATTCCCATGTGTTATTATACAACAAAACCAAACATGCATTATAAAAAACAAAAAAAATATAAAAAAAAAATATAAAAAAAAAAAAAAAAAACTAATGAAAAGGGCTTGAAAACTTTGAGTTTTAATGATAAGGACAAAATAAAGAGTAAAGTGAATAGTACCAGTGTTGACTTTTTAGTATAAAAATGTGGTTTTTCGTTAAAATGAACAGTACCGCGAACTTTTCGTTAAAACTCCCAAAAAAATAAAAAAGTAATATCAGGTCCCCGTTTTCCAGAATACAAATCAGACACTTGAGGTTAATCAAATTCCGACATGAATTAAATGCATAGTGTGTGCATGGAACATATGCTTGACCAAGGGAGCACAGGCACAAGACTAACATTGACAACATCTACTAATTTAAAAGAAGATACAAAACGATACAAACGAAAATAGAACTTACGTACCCAACCAAAAAAGAAGAAGATCGTATAATGGAGTTAAATACAAAATTATTCGAAAACATGAGGTACCACATTTTTGTAGAAAGAATGACTCACTTGATAACACCCGCCCTTGTCTTTGCCTCTTGGTATCATTACCTACAAATGAGATTAGAAAACTATTAATTAATAAATAATAGATAAAGAAAGAGACACAAAGAAAATGATTACAACCAAAATTTGTGGTATTTCAATGGCTGATTAACATCACACTCACGTCAAATCTTATAGCATAAGAAACAACCCCATTTCCTAAGAACAACAAGTGGTTTCTTCGAATTTCCTGAACAATACAAATTTCATAGCAAAACTTGGATTTACAAGTAAAGAAGCAAATAAACCAGTTTCCAAACGCGTTCCAAAATGTCATAACTCTTTGAGACATTTCGTCAAACATCATACTATGCTTACCCCAAATTACTTACAGCAAATTTGATAACCACTTTAAGTTCTCTCTCCCTCCTGCAAGAATAACCGAATGATGATCATATGGGTAAGAAGACTGTCGACAGAAACTATGTCCAAACAAATTTTGAGCATTGAGTATCCAAGCAGCACAGAGGCCATGGTGTATCCAAGCAAAGTTCCAATCCATATTGTGGTCATATTTTTCAACCATTCATCACAAGTTACATGCAATGTCACACAGAACACATACATGAGCATATTGGAACAAGCCTTGGGATTTTTACCTTCCAGAAGAAGACGCGGACTTGGGTGCGTGACGTAATCGCGAGGAACTCGCTAGGTTTGCAATCATAGATCGTTTTGTTTCTGATTTCGAAAAGGTGGAATTGGGCTCAGGTATGTAGAGGTAGAGGCGTTTGGGAATTTATGAAGAGGAAAGGCAGAGAATCTGTGAAAGAGAAATGAAATGGAGGAGAAAGGGAGTTAAGGTTTTGGAAATAGGGAGTTAAGATTTTGGGCGCCATGCCAAAATTTTTGCAACCCTCCAAATTTTTAATCTCCCGCCTCCTCCAAATGTTTTTAATTAGGGTAAATTACATAAAACTACTTCAATTATTGGACTAACCACAGTTTTATACCCCATTTTAAAAACATTTCAATGTCATACCTTATTTTACAAATTTGTTGTAATGTCATACCTCCGTCAGTTTGTCTGTCAATTCTTCCGTTAAATGCTGACGTGGCTTAAGGAATGGCCCACTCCCTAGCCCAACTGGATTAAAAGATTAATTAAATATTAAAAAAATAAAAAATAAAATCATTTAAATATTTTTATTTTAAAAAGGTAGGACCCATCCCTTACAAACCCATCACCCCACCCCTTATCCCCATCACAATTTTTCCCTACTCCTGTCTTCCCCCAACCCAAAACCAGAACCACCCCAAACCCAGATCCCACCAGCACCAACATCCTCCCCCACCCCAACCACTCATCCCACTCCCCCACTCTTCTTTTCTCTCCCCATAAACAAACAAATTTTGAAACAAAAAAAACCCAATTTTTTTTATTCTTGGCAAACCCAGCCAAATTTCTTAGTACACCCACCGAAGCCTGAGAGTTGGGCATGCCACCCTGGCAAATGTCTAAAAGTGACGAAACCCCACCTCTAGACCCAAATGCCCTCGCGTTCTCCTTCGAAAAGCTCAGAGCTTGAAGTGCCAACAAGCCTATTAGGCGTTGGCAACTTGGCGGTCGAGGTGGGCTAGGATCGAGTCGGCGATATGGCAGTCAAGGCAGGCCAGGATCGAGTTGACGCCACTCTGGGTGCGGGGCTTGCCGGCGGAAAGATTGGTGGTCTAGTTCTTTCATGGCTTATACTGGCTCTCTGTAGAGAGAGAAAGTAAAGAGAGGGAGAGTTTGGTGGTTTGCTTTTTAGGGTTTAAAGAGGACAGAGACGAGAGAGAGAAAGTGGGAAATGTTGGAGTAAATGACAGCGAGCAAGGGAGGTGGTTGCGAAGGAGAAGACAAGGGGGATCGAGTCAGGTTCAAGCTCGTGAGAGGTAGAGATCTGGTGGAACGGAGGGACAGAGATGAACGGATGGAGGGGCAGTCGAAGAGGTGATGAATGAAAGGTTAGGGTGACTGGAGATGGGTGAGTTCGATGTCTGGGTGAACTTGGAATAAGGGGTAGGGTCATGGGTTTGTAGGGGATGGGTCCCATCTTTTTTTAATAAAAATATTTAAATGACAGACCAACTATTAAAACATGCATTTTAGAAGGGGGTCCACTCATAGATACTCCGTCGTAGATGAAGCCGTACGAAATAGGAATAACAAAATCGTCGTTAGTGATTGCACATAAGCACATAAAGGGTACAATTAATAAACTTGTACTCAAACATTTTAATTTAGGAAAACAGATGTCAGAAACGAGTCAAGAACGGCCAAATTAGCCTAGAAGGGGTTCTAGACGAAACCCAATAAGTCAACGATCAACGTTGATCGGTCAAAGTCAACGATCAGAGTTGACCAGGTCAAAGTCAACCGGTTCGGGTCGGACCGGGTTGGGCCCAAGTGGGTTTGGGCTTGGTTGGGTCTTGGGCTTCGCAAATGGGTTGGCTTCTAAAGCCCAAAGGGTTTAGGGTTCTAGGTAAACAGGGCGAAGGCCTGGCTTCTTACATGGCCCGAAGGTTTGTTCGAAAAGGCTTGAAGCCCTAGGTTGCTCACATGGGCCTGGGCTTGGAAGCCTAGCCCAGGGTTTTGGGTTAAAATGATTTACGAGCCTAATGCCCTAAAAGAAACGACCCATAGGCCTTTAGGTTTTAGAATTAAATAAAAACAAGTAAAATAAAAGTTTTTGGGTTTAAACGGGCCTAAGCCCGAGTTCTAAAACGGCCCAAAAGGCCTCGTCTCCTTGGTTTGGGCTCAAAGGCCTGTTCTCGTCGAGGAAGAAGGCCGGAGCCTCATGAGCTTCAGTTAACGGCAATCGACCGATTTAACCTTCGATCTAAATGCCAAAATGAAGATAAAGGTGAGAGGGAGAAGTTGGTACCTTTAGTTCATCGTGAAAAGGGCTGGAGATGGCCGAAATATGGGTTTGAAGCTTGCGGGTGCGCTGAGGGTTTTTGAGTGGATTCTAAGTGTCCTGTGCTTCACGGAGACGAGGGAGAGTGAGAGAGAGAGTCCACGATGGTGATGGTGGTGGTGTTGTCGACGTCGGCATGGTGGTGGTGTCTCAGCGTGCATGTGTGAGTAGATCAGGGAAGAGGGGGAGAGAGTACTGAGAGTGAGAAAGAGTTAAGCTAAGAGAACGAGAGAGTGAGAGATCTGAGAGAGAGTGAGAAGAGTGAGCTAAGAGAGAGAGAGACCGGGGAAAGAGAGAGAATGTAAATGGGCTAGTGGCCTGCCACATGGCAGTGTAGGGGAGAAAAACAATCTAGATGGAGGATCTAGATTAGATTAGGATAAAGGGCCTAATTGCACATTTTTATAAAGTTTCAGGGACAAAAATGATAATACAATTTAATTTAGGGGTGGGGTTTAACAATAATAATGTGATTAAATTAGTTGTCAAATCATTATTATTATTTTTTTAACAAATGATATTATCTACACTAGAGGGAGGGGTGGGTTTAACCTCACAATCGGCTATCAATAATATGATTCAATTAGTGGTTTATTAAATATTATTTTCTCTATTCTTAATATAAATTCAATAGAGATCGATTTTATTACGTGGATTTAGCTGCTTTAATTGGTTTATGAGGGGTTTCTTCTAGCATGATCTAAGATCATTCATTTACTTCAAATATTTAACTTTTCTTTTGTCAATTTATGCATATAAATACATTTAAAACATGTCATGATTTAAAAAATGCCTTATGCACGCGCGTGAGCACGTTCATAAAGGCTAGTGAAAGTATAAAATAAACTCTAAGTGTTAATGAATCCATCCGTTTGATGTGATATGCATTCTACGAAACTAATTTTAACGATCCAACCGCCAAACTTGTTTGTATATACTTCGAGATCACATACGTTAAAAATCGCAAAGAAAAAAAAAAAAAAAAAGCATTCAAAGATTAGCTAACGGGATGAATTTTTTTTACAGTTATAAATGAAACATCATGATTTAACGGTTATTTTAGTTCTGATTTTGATGTTTTCTTACCACTACACTCCTCCACCCTATAAGAATACAATGAACTAATTCGATTGTCAATTTAAAATATTTGCACAAGTGGACACAAAATCTTATTTTATACTTAATAAAAGTATTAAATAGTTTCTAAGTGTTAGTTGAATCTATCGTTTTGATGAGATATGCATTCTACAAAACTGGTTTCAATGATCAAACTGTCAAACTTGTTTGTATATACTCCAAGATAGCATGCGTAAAAAATTGCAAAAAATAAACATTCTGAGATTAGGTAACAGGAAGAAATTTTTCGATGGTTATAAATGAAAAATCACAATTTAACAGCTATTTTAGCTCTGATTTTGATGTTTTTCACAATTACACTCCACGACCCTATAAGAATACAATGAACTAATTCTATCTTCAATTTAAAACGTTTACACTAGTGGTTTTCTTTTAAGGTATTCATTCAGTTTCACGAGTGCACGAGGGAAACCAAATAATTGGGAATTCTAGATTTTAATATCCTCCAAGAGAGATGAGGGAGGGAGGCAGCTACTACAATTTGGTTTGCAGTTTCTGTTTCCCAGACTGCTTTTGTTATCTAGAAATATTCGTCGACTTTGCACGACGAAGGTCCTATTGCCCAAAAAATTGCGTGACGGACCAACCGCGTCGCGCAAAGGGTCCTTTCGCAATGGAGAACTATAATGTCGTGCACAAACCCTTTGTGCAACGGAGAATTATAACATCGCACCCTTTCGCACGACACATTTGGTCTGTCGTGCAATTTTTTGGCACCAAACCAAGATTTTACCCTTTTTTTTTCAAACATTACGCGACGAATGAGTACCTTTGTTGCGCTAAAACAGTTTGCGCGACGGAAAGCTTCGTCCCCTAACGGGCCGTCGCGCAAAACATAATTGTGTGACGCTTCTTTGTCAACATCGAGCAGAACGTTTTTGCCCAACATAATATGCTTTGTCGTGCAATTTTCCTTCGCACAAGTGTGCTTTTGTACTAGCTACTTATTTTTTCAGCTAAAAATCACTCTCAGTAAGTTTTTGCAACCCAATTATTGTAGCAAAATAATGAAATGATAATTACAATTACAATGAACAAGAACTCAACCCAATAGCAAAAAGTAACTAGAGAGAGAGAGAAAAAAAAAAAAAAAAAAGCTAAGATAACCTTGTTAGAAGTTCTAGTCAAGCACATTTGCTGCAATGTACTGTTCTATGCTCTTCATTGTGGTAGGCATAATGTGGCGGGGAGGTTGAATGATGCATATATCTGGGCGAGGAGTTTGAATTATAGATGTATTGGGGCGGAGATGACTAATAATAGGAATACTGGGGAGGAGATTCGGTATGATGTGTTGCGAGTTATATATTTATATATTAGTTAAAGTGTAAATAGTAGTTTGTTGTCCTACATTGACAAAGTACATTTGTAATCCCAATTGTAATTCCTATATACACTCCACTTTGGAGATTAATGAATATAAAAGAAATTCCCAAATAATATCATATATATTTTTGGTATTTTACCATGTTTAATTCAACTTGGCATCAGAGCAGTTCACTCTTGGTGACCTGTGTGCTTTAATTTTGTGCCCACTTTTCTTAGTATTGTGCCAAAAAACTAAAAAAATAAAAAATAAAAAAAAGTGAATTGTGTCGTGCTACTGTACATCGCTATAGTATCGTGAATAGTGCATTGCTGCAATGCTGGAACAGTAATTCTGCTACAGTATCCTGGTTAATTGTCTTAATTCCGCTGCGTATCTTTTGTGCCTTTATTGTTTGTGTTTTAGCTAAATGGCTCAATATAATCATAGTGTTGTTATGCATTTTGGTGGAACAAATATATGGATAATTGATACTGGGGCTACCCTAGATCTTCCCCTGTGAAGGGTGAAGGCACTCTCTCTCACTCCAACCTTATCACTGGTCCATGCTTTACTTGTTCCTGATGTTAAGTGCAATTTTTTATCAGTAGGAAAACTACTTGATACCTTATATTGTTTCGCTCACTTCTACCCCACGTATTGTTATTTTCAAGACATTCAAACTCAGAAGATAATTGGTCATGGTAAAAGAATTAGGGGTTTGTACATCTTGACTATGGATGATACTGTTGCTTCAAGTTCAAATAATCATCAAGTTCTAAGTGCTAAAGTGGATGACAAACATCAAATTTCGTTGTGGCATCAATGTTTGGGACATCCATCATTTAGTTATATGAAGCATCTATTCCTTCTTTGTTTCGCAATTGTAGTGATTCAGAGTTTAGGTTTGAAACATGTGTCATGGCTAAGAGTCATCATGCTTCCTTTCCCATAAGTGATTCTAAAGCTATTTTTCCATTTGATTTGATACATTCTAATGTGTGGGGTCTGGCGAAGGTTACTTCTAATGGATTTTGTTGGTTTGTTACTTTTATTGATGACTGTACTGTACTTAATTAACTTGGGTGTTCTTGATGAAGAATAAGAGTGATGTCCCTTTACTTCTTCAAGAATTTTGTGCAATGATGTCTACTCAGTTTTGGACCAAAGTTAAGGTCTTCAGGTCTGACAATGGAGGAGGTGAATCACACTTTGGCATGTTTTTTTTTTGTAATCATGGTATTATTCACCAAATGACTACTTCGTTTACACCTCAACAAAATGATGTATCTGAATGGAAAAACCGTCAATTAATGGAGGTTGCTCGCTCCTTGATGTTGGATAAATATGTTCCTAAACATTTGTGTGGTCATGCTGTTTTGGATGCTGTGTACTTGATAAATCATATTCCAAGAAGGGTTGTTGATTTTTAGACACCGTTTGATGTGCTACAAAAACACCATAGGTTTGAGTCCCACATTGGCTGTACAAAAAGAGAAATAATAGTTTAAACATCCTAACTTCACTCCAATTAACATTGGGGCCTTTGTGATAAACCCCACACTTGACAGATTGTGTAGGTGGTAATTACCAAGTTGGGGACAATATCAGTGTTGTTGGAAGTGGCCCTTGGCTCGTTTCTCTGATAATTCTACATGGTATCAGAGTCAGGGAGCGGGCCCATACGTACTGCCACGTGATGGATGGGTCATCTTGACCCCGTGCGATGATGGTGGGTCATTTCGCCCCGCATGTAGGGTGAGTCCCTTTGGCTCCACGTGGTTACCAATGTGTGGACCTCCCATGGTCCTACATGGTACCAGAGCCAAGGAGTGATCCTGTACGTACTGCAACATGATAGGTGGGTCCTCTTGGCCCCGCGTGATGATGGTGGGTGCCTTGGCCCCATGTGTAGGGTGAGTCCCCTTGACTTCACGTGGAAGCCGATGTGTGGACCTCCCACATGTGACCCACTAATTGGGTCCCACATGAGTGGGCGTGCTGAGTTCCACATTGGCTATACAAAAAGAGAATTAATAGTTTTAAATATCCTAACCTTATTCCAACTAACATCGAGGCATTTTGTGATAAAACTCCACACCTGACAGATTGTGCAAGTGGTAATTACCAAATTGGAGACATTATCGATGTTGTTGGAAGTGGCCCTTGGCTCGTCTCTATGATAATTCTGCATGATGGATATAATGAAACGGAGTAGGGGAACTGAGTTCGCTTGTTATGGGAATGGCAATTCGAGTTTGCTGTTTGTCTACTCTAACTTCAACCAACTCCTGTATCTCCTCAAATGATCGGAAAATAGGGTGCAAGTACGCATCAGCCAAGTATGATTTCATATTTAGGTCAGGTTCCACAGTTTGCCCCATTGTCTTTAGCCATCGCTTCTTGGCAAAGTAACAAAAAGTTCTTTCGATTAGAAATTTCTTTAAAAAGTCGAATGCACCTCCGACAAATTGAATGCAGTGGATCAAAAAATTGATGTAAAGTTCCAAGCTTACCTCAAGTGGGTACTTTCTAAATGCAGGTTGAAAACGATACTTGCAGGACTTGTTATTTTTAAACTTACTTATAAAAATTTGAAAATAACATCTATTTACATATAATTTAAACTTAGAAATTGAATGTCTCAAATTCCAAGTTTTTTTTTACGCAAAAATCCTAAATTTCTATGTTTATAAGTCTAAACAAAAAAAATTTATGCATGTCAATTTATAAATTCTAGCTTTTATTAAAGTTTAAGTTTATTTTCCTTCTAGAGACAAATATCGCGCAATACAATACAGCGTATGACGGAAGAAAAAAGGGGCCAATAATACTGTGACAGCGTGACTCAATCACCAACAGTGCCTTATTCTGGAGGACGAAACGATGGCGATGCAGAGATTATTCTCCAAGCTTCGTTCTGTCTCTGTGCGCTCAGCCCAAACTCTCCCATCATCACTCTCCTCTCCTGCATTGCTTCGGTCTTGCCCTCCTCTGCTTCATCACCCTCTCCCTTTCGCTTCAATTCGTAACAAATGGACCGTCAGGTCCCTTTTCATTGCCCATTCACCGACCCAATCATTGCCGCCGGCTCTCACGGCTCTTCGTTCCTCGGCATTCCCTTTCCCAGTAAGTTGGTTTTTCTTAACGGCTCGTCTTGCCTGTTTGGTTACTGTGAAAATGCCTGAGAAAGATTTATATTCTATTTCTTGAATCATTAAGAAATGCAGAAAAGCTTGCAGCCAATACCCGACTTAGTTGGGTTTTTAGTTTGATTTTGCGCTGTTTTGTAATCGATCAAACCGGCAATATGAATTAGGGGTTTATATATGGTATTGCATTGATGTGCAATTATATTCTAGTGTTTTGAAGATAAATGGTGTTTCGTTTGTGTATGTTAAGATGGTTCAAGTGCGGCATGTTTCGTCGAGGGAGCGAAAGAAGAGGAGAAAGCCGATGACTCCAGTCACTTCGAAGTTAAAGAAAACTAAAATGAAGTCTTACTCGTAGGTTTATCTTAACTCAGCCATCATATTGTGTTTTTTTTTTTCTTTTGGAAATGTTATTACAGTTTTGTCTAATAGTTGGTTTTGAAATTTCATGACCAGGTCTTACAAGTCCAGGTTTAGGACAATGAATGATGGGACCATTCGGCGGTGGAGGGCGGGCAAGCGGCACAATGCCCATTTGAAGGTGTGCTTTGCATTTTGAATTCAAATCTTTGGTTTTGTGTGTACAGTTGGTCAATGCTCATCTAGCAAGTAGCAAATTTCAGTCATGTTTCAAATTCTATGTGAATGAATGCTTTACTACAGGCGGGATGGTAAATTTCGGTACACATACAGTACACACAACTACACAAGAAAACTTATTTGGCGACATTTTCTTTTTGGGACCAAACTTCTTGGCTAATTTAGACTTGTAATTCTCTGGAAAAGGTTTGGTGATGCATGTGTTGGCGCAATTTGAACGGGCTCAGCCTGAACTCCATGAAGCCAATCCAAACTTTCTGCCCATATGGACAGGTTCAAAATAGCTCAGGTTGAGTTCGTGTTGAGAAAATACAAACCTGATAAATTTTGAGCTGAACACAAAATAACCACCCAACATCTAAACTTGAATTCCAATTCCTGAGTTAACACGAATTACAGATAAACTACTACAGGGCCTTGTGAACAGTATCTTAGCTACTGAAGGGCTGTATTGTTTTTGTTCCTTAAAGTTAAATAGTAACAAAAACGCTTTCATCTGCGAGGAGGGAGATTGGAAGGGTTAACTTTTTGTGGGAAGGGATGATGGAAGGAAAGAAGGATCACTTAGTAATGGAATAGGTGGCTCGAGGTAAGGAAAAAGGAGCTTAAGGGTATGAAACATTGTGAAGAGGAATGAAGTTTTTCTTTGGATGTGGTTGTAGAAATTCCAGACATAGTTAAATTCCCTTTGGGACAGGCTGCACCTGCATGAGAAATGTCTGGAATCCCAAGGTCGCAGCTAGTGGTTCAAGTCAATGCTCGTGAACTAATATTTCTAAATTGATTTTTGTTTTTGCTTCTTGTTGTCAATTTGGGGTGAGGAATGGGGATCCAGGTGAGATTTTTACGGGGATCAGAATCATCTTTATAGATTGACCTGATATCTTAATTATCCCATTGCTATCGGTCTTCTTTACCTCTTTGTTGGAATGTTTGGTTTCAATGTAATTTCAGTGAGCAGGAAGTGAAAGATTTCCTGTCTTTGCTGTCAGATCTGGAGTCTGTCTTGCTTGTCTCAAGTAGATCCAATTCCTGAACCTAGCACCAATTTCTCTCCATCAGTCGAGGCCCTTGTGTCCTTTCCATCTAAACAACCCAAATCACAGCCATTACCAAACGGCCCCCCCCACAACTTGGAGCTTCTTACCCATCCACACCACTTTATGGGTCTCGTAGAAAAAGGAAAAGCAAACACTTGCAATGACCCAACTTATTCATCTCCCTGAACAGCTAATTTTTTGTAACCAAAGGAAGATATACTGATATCCGATTTACCTGAATAAATTGATACTAACAGCCTGCATGGCCTAGATTTTTCTTCATTTTCTGAAACAGCATACATATTAAAAATGGTGGCCCATTATCATTGAGGGACCAGTGTCATGGCACCTCTTCTACATGGCTTGAGCATTCCAGAGACTTATTCTTGGGCTATGATAGAGGATAATTTTATTATAATGAGGTTATGGCTGCTATACTAGTTAGTATGTAATTTCATATCTTGGTTTCGTAGTTATTTGGTATCTTTCTTCTCATTGGCATGTAATGTGCAAAGGAGATGCTGATTGTTTCAATCATGTAAGGCTCCACTGTCCTCTTGTGTATCCTTTATGGACAAGGCTGTTCACAGAGACCATTTTGAATTGAGCAATCTGTGAATCTTGTCTTGAATTACTATGTGAGAAGCCCGTCTGTTGGAGGAAATAAAAGGGGCATGATGCTGGATATGTGCTGTTCTGAAAATATTTTGTGTTGTTTGGATGTAGAGAATTCGGAGATTGTTTGAAAGTGCTAAGGGGGCGGATGAGTTTGTTTCTGGGCATCCTATCAGTTCTTGGGGGGTGCTGTTGTTAGTTAGTTTTGTTTGCATTGGGTTCAGATGGAAGTGCTAAGACCCAGTTGCTGTCTTTCCCCTTGTTGGTGTATTATGGGTAAGATGAAAGAAGAAAATGTTGATCCTCTATTTTTTCGCTGGCCAGTAGCTCTAATTTGTGACACTCATTACTCGAGGAGGCAGGGGTGAGTTTAGTAATTGCTTAGTTAAAGATTACTGGGTTCGGCAAAGAAAAAAAGGCTTTAGTGTTGTGGGGCTGTTGTAGGATGGTTTTATATGGATTATTTGGATGGAAAGGAATAGAAGGATTTTTAACAATAAATAAGGAGGTAGGGTAGAAGAGCTTTGGGAAGGGGTGAGATTTCGGCCTTCGCTTTGGGCTTTGGTATTCACTTTCGTCTCTCTTGCTAGATTGGAAGGCAGTTATAGGGTGATATTACTTTCATAGCTTTTATTTATGTGGCTGTTGTAGATCTTTGTTAATTTCCTTATGCTATGTTAAGACAAGGGACTTTGAATGTCTCGAAGAACTTTAGACTTTATTCTTAAAGAAGCACTACAAGAAGTGAAATACTCAAACACTACAAGAAGTGAAATACTCAAACACTACAATGAACAACAAAGACTCTAAACAAATGAATTTCAAAATGACACCTTCTCTCAAATGTTTAGCATCTAGTAATTTTCAATTCCCTTACACATAGTTTTCTAGCACATTCCTAACTACTTTAGCCTAGGTTCAATGGAACTTCAAAGTCTCTCATCCAAACGCCCCCTTATTGTAACTGGATTCCGATGGACTTATTGTTCACTGGTTGCATTTATTTATTTATTTTTTTAATAATTGTTTCTTTTCCAAAGGAAGAAAAAAAAGTTGTAGTAAAAGATGACAGCATTCCAGTCAAAGAAAATAGCATGAAAAGACCAATCCCTAAACTCAGAGAACACTGAAGCGAACTCATGTGAAAAAGCTCCACCTATAAAAATTCTTCTATTGCTTTCCAGACAAACCACCATGACAATTTCTGAAACAGCGTGCCCCTAGCACCAAACCCCTCCCCTACCTCCAAAAAACTTTTAACTTTTCACCTAAGAGGCATCACAAAAGGCTGGAATTGGCAAACTCAAAGCTTTTCTAGCAAACATTATTCACAAGAAATATGCAACTGGACGTTGAAACATTAAAATGGTTCAAAATTCTGTGTTAATTCTACACTAGTTTAATACTACCGGTAAGTTGGAGATGCAATAACGCAGGCTAATACCTTTACCTTAGGTTAAACTTTAGCCTCCCAAATTGCTTGAGAGGGACCAAAAAGGAGAAGGACAAGAATCATCCAAGAATCGCCTTGAGAAGGATTTGCAATAGGTGGTCAATCATCTTGGTTTCTCATTTGTCATATATTCGTATAGATGCATGCACTATATGTGCCCACGTGTGTGTTTGTATGTGTTAGGTCAGGTGTGTCCCAAAGCATTAGACATATGTTGTCATGTTGCTTATTCACATTTTGGGTTCCTGCAAAGTTTTCTACATATAACAAAGAAGAGAGTAGTTTGAATGACTGCTCCAGTATGCTCTACATGCAGAAGAAGTGAATCCTTTTCTCACTATTTTTGTTACTTAAAGTGGTAACCAGCAAGTTTGAAGTTCAATTGCCTACTGAAAATTCCCTTTCAACCGGTTTTCATAATCTGTTTCCATTTGCCTCACTCCTCTGTCGGTGAAGCAACATGAACGAGTATGTATGCTTGTCCATTGCCCTATTAGTGCAGCTAAATCTCTTATTGGTGTCTTGACCTGCTCGATCAGACTTCGGTTCCTTTTATTGCAAATGTTCCTTTTTTCTCCTTACAATGGTGCATTCTTAATATTTATTTTATTTTTGGTCTGGGGTGCATTCATGATTTGAGAATGGTTTTAGAAGACCAGAACTCTAGACGTACCAAATTGCTCTTGAAATCAATGAAATTTTATATCTATTGCAGTCGAAGATATCTAAGCGTAGACTCAGACTCCCTGCCCTTGTCCATCCCGCTTACGCTACAGTGATGAAGAAGCTCAATTTTTGCGGTTAAAAGTTTTGATCTGGTCGGTGCTGCTGGTAGTTTCCGTTTCTGATTCCTTTGAACAAGCAGTGCTTCAGTAGCTAGATTCTTTTAACTATTGGCAAGTTCAGTTTGAGACTATAGCTGATTTGCTGATGAGAACAACATGCTATATTTGTCTTTTTAAACTTGTATTCCGTGGCTTGCTGAGGAATTTTTTATGAGAGTTTTGCAGTACTGGGACGTATCAGAAAGAAATAACAACTTTGTCGACGTGACTCAAGCTTCAAACATTGATCGATTAGCCGTTTTGGAGCATTTGGATAATAATTTTCCTTTCATTTGTGATTTCTTGCAACACTTGTACAATAAAATTGCAGCATTTGTGTTCTGCAACCTTTTGCAGCACTTTGTACTCGAAGCTTTTCCCATACTTAAGTCCAATGTATCATTGAAATGGAGTTCGTCGGTCGAAAACGGTCAAACAGAATGCCAAAAGAACCGAGTACATGAGTGAAAATTTAAAGAAAATAATTTCTTCACATCCCTATTTTTCCTAGAGCTCGACTTAAATGGCATGCAGAAGGTGAATATGGCGTAGAAAAACATTATATCCGACGTATTTCATTATTTTCTTGTGACTACGTCTGGAGCTGCCATAGTTTAGTGTACAGCTGCTGGTTCTTGTGTCTCATAGGCAGCCTCAAGGCCACTAACAGGCGAGCCTCCTCGCTCGCTGTCTTGCCTCACATGGCCGGCAGCTTTGGCTCCTCCATAATCGCTGACGTTCCCAAAAATCAGAATCACCACTCCACACACAGTGGTTAAAAATGACAGCCCGAAAGAAGTGAACAGGTTTCCTGGGACTGCCGTTGCCAATGCGAAGCCAACACATGTGCCAAGAGCTTTGATCCAGGAATGCCATGTGGAGAAAGCGCCTTCTTTCCCTGGCGGCGAACAATCCATCAGCAGAACCCGTCCAAAGGCGTGCAAAAGCCCCGCGGACGTGCTTTGAACCGCACCGAAGAAGAGGACATGAGGATGCCCCCAAAGTGAGTTCCGGAAATAGAATCCGGACCCGGAAGTGAGTGCTGATAGGAAGAAACCCATGAGTTGCATTTTGATGGCGTCCGCCTTGATGAGATGCTGCAGTGGTTGTAACATTGGGAGAGAAATCAAGGGGAAGATGAAGTAAGTTAGGAAAAAAAATAGCAATGCTTTTGGATCATAGCAAAGCTGCCCAACTAGGTAAAGCACTCCCCCTGTGAAAATACACATTGATGTGAACGAGGAGAGGAAAGTTCCCACAAGTCCTCCAACTGCATGAGGAAACTTGAAGACTGAAAGTGCATGGGACTTTGAGATAGGTGGATTCACACAGGGCCTATTAGTCACAAAGAAATGGAATATCCCAGTGAACCATATGATCCCACTAAAGATTGACACAATCCAAAGCCCTAGCAACTCTTCATCTTCCCTAAGCATGTGGTAAGCGAAGGATGAGAAGACGGCAGAGCCTAATGAGCCCGCCGCGGCTGCGTAGAGCGAAAGCCAGGCGGAGACTGCTCTTCGGGCTTGGAATTGGGATTTTCGGATAGTTGGTCCCGTGAACCCGCGGACCAATAGGCCGAGGTGGCGGGTGTGGCAGGCGGTGGCAATGACGTTGGCACAAACTATGGCGGCAATGTACGGTGGAAAGATCCAGATGTTTCGGAAAAAGCCAGCTGGAAGACAGAAGATGGACCCGATGGCGGCTGAGGCGCCGGCAACGAGGGGTTGCTTGTAGCCATGGTCAAGGATGATGGAGACAAAGTGAAGGAGTGGAGCAGCTAGAGCTAGACCTATACCCCATGAAATTGAAGTCCACTCTAGAGGTGAGTATTTGGAGAGTAATGACCTGTTTGTGAGTCTAAGGTACCTGCAAATATTAAACAACCATATATTTCAAATTAAACAAATAAGGACACATCAGTAGCTAGTTTTGATTTTTCTTGTATCAAGTCATCTCCATAAGCTCAAGGGGTAAAAATAATTAACTTCTTACTTGACACTATAAATGGAAAGTACAAGATAAAGGCAATTATATTATTAATCTGGTTTAGTTTAAATAGATTGAGATGAAATATTGTAGCTCAAGTGGTTAAGAGTATTTATTTTTGTACTCAAGGTTTTACATTTGAATTTTGGTCACATAACTATTTACTTTGGTCCCTGAGATTTGAAATCGATAGAAGTGGTTCCTAAGTTTATCCACATCAATCATTTTGGTCAAAGAAGGACCAAAACAATTGATGATGGGCAAACTCAAGGACCACTATTATCGATTTCAAATCTCAGGAACCAAAGTGAAGAGTTATGTCAATCTCAAAGACCATTTTGAATAAAAAGCCTATATTTAATTAACTAACTAATCTCAAAGACCATTTTCAATTCTCGCGAAAGGCGAATTTGAACCGCATTATTGCTAACTTATTGTGAGGCTTAACTTACTCCCCCTCCTATTTAGTGTAAATAACATCATTTGTTAAAAAAAAAAAAATATTAACTAACTAATCTCTCTTTAAACGCGAGTGGATTTCTTTTTATATTGTCCGTATGTTGGTTTCAATTCACAGTTTATATAAACTCAAATTCTTGAGAGGCTCATGATTAGGGAAGGACAAAATACAGATGGTTATGGGTAACCGCGGTTATCCGCCCATTTAATGGGTAACCGTTTGCCTATGAATTTTAAATGTGTGGTTATAAGTACCCACAGTATAAATGGTACCCATTTAACCGTTTATTTTAATATATGTAAAATAAAAATAAAACAACTAAAAGCCCTAAAATTATTCGACCTCTCCGAGACTTCCGCCGCTCATCTTTCTTTCTTCACTGCCCTCTCTCATCTTCGGCTCTCTCTCTCATCTCCGGCAAGTTGCAAAAACAAAAAACAAAACAAAAACCCTAAAACTATGTTGCTACTGTCTGTTTGCTTTGTTGCTCAGATTTAGTGCTTTTGGTTCCTCAAATTTGCAAGACGAAAGAATTTCATTGGATTTGCGGCTATGGACTTTTGCTTGACTTGGTTGGTAGCTCAAGCTAAGCATATACTCAGTAATGAACTTTTGTCCTTAATCAAGAAACATTGCAATTGCAAAGGGATGAAAAAAACCAGTTGAAAGCAGAAAAAGATTATAATTACTTATTCCTAAGCCCGGAAACTTCTATCAACAAAAGTTAATTGTTTTACTCACGGATTAATGATCCCATCATGTGATTTTGCATAACTATATTGATATTAGTTCATATAAACTTTTTGTTTTATATCAAGTTTTCCATATGTTTCATGCCCACATAATGCTGAGACACTTATAATTTCAATTATTGGTAAATATATTATATTACCTTGATTGATAACACCTAAAAATATCATCTGTAAACTATTATTTTAATTATTGGAATTGTATGAGGACTTAAAAGATTGAAATACGGAAATGCATGTTAAATGTACATATGATGGTGTTTAATTGTCAAAAAAAGAAAATTATGACATTCTTTTTTAAATTTCAAGTTGTTAAAAAATTGTGTCAACAGGTAAAAAAATGGGTAAGCAAATAAAAAAAAAGGGCAAAGGGTTAAAAAAAGGTAAATGGGTATGCTGTTATGGTTAAATAAGTACGCGGCTATAGGTATGACTAACCGTTTATAAACAGTTATGGGTATGTATATAACTGTTTATGCAATGACTTAATGGGTAAATGATTATGCAAGCAAGAGCTTAAACAATTATGAGTAAATAATTGCAGTTATCCACCCGCCATAACCATGTCCATCCCTACTCACTCATAAGTTTGGAGGGTGACTACCTACACTAAATAAGTATTAAGGCTAGTAATGCTAAAATAAATTATAATTATATAATTAGACTCTACTTTCCATGTTAATTGCCCGATAAATATCAATAAATAGTGAAAACTATGGTTTCATACATATACGAGGAGCTAGACATCAATGTCAATTATAGAGCTCCAAATATATATATATATATATATATATATATAGATGATATCATATGGCACATGTATGCACTTACAGTATGGTTTCCTTGTGAGTGCAAGCGGCCACGCCCTTGTACTTGCGGGCTAACCCCTCCCCAGACCCAGAGTCGCTTGCAGCGTCACCGATTTGGGTGATGATGAGAGGGAAGACGATCGGGATAAGAACAAGATGAATGAAGTGGGAGCACAACTCATAAAAATACCAACTCAAAATCTCCACCTTGCTAGGCTTCTCTTCAAACCCTGCATATACTTTGTATGCATCCCTTGCCCTCTCAATTTTCATGCCCGCCCCATGCACATCTGGAGTGGTAATATTATCACCTGCTAAATACGCAATTTCGACCGCTGCTGATCTGATCAACTCTTGCTGCACAGTACTAGTACTAGCTTCAACTTCAGGACTACTCGGTGGTTCGGCCATTTTAGCTAGTCTTCAAGCTTTGAATCAAGGGACTGTATGTACATATGTGTGTGTGTGTGTGTATATATATTTGTTTTTCACGAGGAGGGCGATGGAGACGTGTAAAAATACTTGGCGACGGAGGCGAGTAACCAGCTGGTTGCGGAAAATCCCAAGGGCTTCAGAACCCTCGGTATGTCCATATGGAAACGTCAATATATAGAGGAGAGAGAAGTATATATACTGCCATTATTCTCAACTCTAGTGTCTTTTTATGGTCCGATTAATCTATGGCACAACAAACCAAAGGAAATCTGTCATGCCACTGTACTTAATATTTATGAGATTAGTTGTTTTGACTGGGCATTTGAAATTGTAAATTTTATATTGGCAATTTCGTATAATGCATGTTCGAGTTGCAATCCGTTATTAGCCTTAAGTTTCCTATAATATTTAGGTTTAAGTTAAGAATCTATTTGTACTTCATTCTAGTCCTTCTAATTAGGGGTCGGTTCAAAAAACCGAAAACCGAAAAAAATCGAAAATCAAACCAGACCGAGGCCGAAAAAAACTGAACCAAAACTCTCAAACCGAACCGAACCGAATCTGGCCAGTTCAGTTTCGGTTTTTGAGGTTTGAAAACCAAGCCGAACTAAACCGAACCGATATATATATATATTTGATTATTTTTTTAATGTTTATAAATAGTTTAGTTATACAATTATAACAGAACAGAACCTGTTGTGAAGTTGGTTTTAGTGAAACTTTCCAAGTAGGTGGAGCGCATGGGTTTGAACCCTCCTTATGCCTCCCGGATTTTGGAGATTTTTTTAAATTTTTTATGACCAAATCAACAAAACCCTAGCGTAGCCACACTTTTTCTATTTTTCATTCCCCTCTTCTCTCTTTCTCGTTCCCTGCCTTCCTCCATGTCCATTTCTCCATTCTTCTCCATAACCCGC